GAATTAAATATGAGGCAGCAAAGATGGCTGGAATTTTTGAAAGACTATGACTTTAGTTTGAGTTACCATCCCGGTAAAGCTAACGTCGTAGCAGATGATTTAAGTCGGAAGACAGAGCATATGTTGACATTGATGATCAGAGAATTGGACTTGATTGAGCAGTTTAGAGACTTGAGTATGGTTTGTGAATTAACTTCAGAGACTGTAATGTTGGGGATGCTGAAGGTGAATAGTGAGTTCCTTCGTGAAATTAGAGACAGTCAGAAACTAGACTTGAAATTAGTAGACTTGATGATCGTAGGAAGCACGGATAAGGAAGAAGACTTTAAAGTAGATGGTTTTGGTGTGTTGAAGTTCAGAGACAGAATTTGTGTGCCAGATAAACCTGATTTGAAAAAGGTAATTTTGCAAGAAAGCCACAAGAGTAGCTTGAGTATTCATCTAGGAGCTACGAAAATGTATCAAGACATAAAGAAATTATTTTGGTGGCCGGGTATGAAGAAAGACATAGCTCGGTTTGTGTATGCTTATTTGACTTGTTAAAAGTCAAAGGTGGAACATTAGAAACCATCTGGTTTGATGCAACCAATGGAAATACCAGAGTGGAAATGGGATAGTATTGTAATGGATTTTGTGACTAGATTGCCAAATACGGCGAGAGGTTTTGATGCAATTTGGATGATTGTGGACAGACTGACGAAGTCAACATATTTTATACCGATCAACATCAGTTTTCCTTTGACGAAGTTAGCGGAGATCTATATTAGAGTGATAGTGAAGTTACACGGGGTTCCGTCGAGCATTGTGTCTGACAGAGACCCGAGGTTTACTTTTGTATTTTAGGAAAGCTTGCAAGAAGCTTTGGGTTCTAGTTTGAAATTGAGTTCTGCTTATCACCCGCAGACAGATGGACAATCTGAAAGGACTATTCAATTGTTGGAAGATTTGTTGAGAGCTTGTATACTCGAGCAGGGAGGCGCTTGGGATACTCATTTACCGTTGATTGAATTTACTTACAACAATAGTTATCATTCTAGTATTGGAATAGCACCTTTTGAAGCATTGTATGGTAGAAGGTATAGGACACCTCTATGTTGGTATGAGTCGGGCGAGAGTACGGTACTCGGACCCGAGATCATGCAACAAACCATAGAGATAATCCAGATTATTAGATAGAAAATGAAGACGGTCCAGATAGATAGAAAAGCTACCATGACAATAGGAGGAAGGACTTGAAATTCAGCGAGGGCGACCATGTATTTTTGAGAGTCAATTCGGTGATAGGTGTTGGTCGTGCGCTGAAATCAAAGAAGTTGGATCCTAAGTTCATTGGACCGTATCAAATTCTGCAGAGAGTTTGAAATGTTGCCTATAGAGTGGCGCTGCCACTCGAACTTTTGAATTTGTACAACGTGTTTCATGTATCGCAACTTCGGAAGTATATTACTAATCCATCTCATGTGCTTCGGAGAGATGAAATGCAAGTTCGAGATAACCTTACGGTGGAGGCGATGTCGCTGAGGATCAAAGACCGCAAGGTGAAACAATTAAGAGGAAAAGAGATTTTGTTAGTGAGAGTAGCTTGGGGAGGAGCTACTGGATGAAGTGTGACCTGGGAATTGGAGAGCAAGACACGAGAGTTGTATCCAGAATTGTTCTCATCATGTACATTTTCAAGGACAAAAATGTTTTAAGTGCAGAGTTGTAACACCCCATTTAAATTACTTAGTCGTGTTTGTAGTTGTTGTGTTGTGTATTTGTGGTTGTCCTTAATTAAGGGTATGAGGTTAGGGGCAATGGTGAGACTTGACCTTAGTTGAGGTAAGATGGACCTATAATAAATAATATTAATGATTTAATAATAATAGTAAGAATATTATGCTTGTTGGTATTATTATTTTAATTATTATTAATAATAATATTAATAGGATGGTAGTTATTATCGCTATTATTATGGTTATTATTATTATTATCAATTAAATAAAAGGAGTTAAAACCTGATTAAGGGGATTAAGAATGGTAAAGTGGGGAATTAGACGGTTTATACGTGAAAAAGGAAAAAGACAAAACAAGGAGAGCTAGGGCAGAAGAACCACAATTCTCCATTATTGTCAAGAAAAAGCTTCAATCCAAGGTAAGGGGAGAATTGATTTCAATATGGGTGAATTAACATGAGAGGATAGTGAGAGGTCATTTCTCTCGTAGAATTTATGTCTGTTATTGTTCCTTGGTCTTATTTTCGTGGTATTATGAATTCCCTGTGATTGATGTTATTGTTGAATAATTATTGCATGATGTTTGTGTGTGCGAATCTAGAACTGTTATGAAAATCGTGTGAAAATTCATGAACATTGTAATAAAAGTTTGATAGGTAACAGATCTGGAAAATGAGGGTTTAATAGTTAACGAAATCAAATCTAATGAGTAGAAATCTTAGAAGAATAAGGGATAGATGAAGTATAGTGAAGATAGACAGAGTTAGAGGACATAAAACTGAGTTCTAGGATGAATGGAATGGTAGAATAATGAATATTGGGTGGAACTTCGTGAGAATGAAGAAATCTGAGTTTTTTGACAGATTTGCTGGTCATACGCGTAATGGGAGTGTCATTACGCATATGGGGGGACTCCTAGGGGCCGTACGTGTATCAGACATGCCCTGCCCCCAAAGCCAGCATGACCATCTAGTGATACGCGTATGGGTCGTGTCAATACGCATATGGGGATAGTCATACGCGTAAGGGGGTCTCAGAGGGGATTTTGTGAGGTGCCAGCCTCTGGAAAGACGCGTAAGGGGGACCCATACACGTATGACAGCAGGCAATACGTGTATGGACCAGAGTGTTACGCGTATGGGTAGGTTTAGGGGACTTTCCCCCCCCCCCCCTTTTTATGATTTCTGTCCAGATTTCGCTTGGAATGCATTTCCGATTAATCAGTAGAGTTAATATGACTTAATTGAACCTAAGGAAGGGTAGTAATAAACTAAAGTATGGATAGTGAGGGATTTTGTATACTTGCCCGTGAGGGGTGTGACTGATAGGTGTGGGCCATCCAGGACTGTCCAGTGTGGACGATCTGGTGTGATGATGGTAATTCCCGAGAGGATTACGATGAGCAAATGGCTCGTGTGGATCGTTGATGATTGTGAATTATGCCTGAACTTGTTATATTTGCATAATTGTGTTGTCTTGCACTTCACGGCATGTGTCTTGTGGAGATGGCTAGGTGGGAATCCATGATGGGTGCCTAGTTCATCCGGACTTCATGTGGAAGTCGTTGTGGACATAAGTTGTAGTTCATAGGAACATATACGACTTATCCGGATTCCGACGGGAATCGGGTTCTAGGGTGAACCGTATGTATTTGTGTTGGTACCACATGCATTATGTCGAATCAGTGAGTCACATTGCATATTGTAATTGAATATGGGCTATTGATGCCGGGTAATTGAGGTGGCACGTGTATGTGCATTGTATGTGTATGATTGTGTTTGTGGTGTGTAACTACTCATTAGCATATGTATTTTGCCACTTATTTATAGAATGTAGTTCTCACCCCTTTTATGTTTGTTGTGTCTGTGCTCCTTGGGGAGTACAGATGACCAGGTACCTGAGTAGTGCTTGAAGTGTGTTGTTATTCAGTCGAGTCCTAGGAGTCGCTCTGATATGTAACATGGGATGACGGGGATTACGTTGCATTTTATTTATTTTCCAGAATTGGATATGTTCCTTTTATTTAATGGATTTGTGTTGTATAACCACCTCGTGTGGAGACTATGTTTGAACCATTGATTTTGTTCCGCTGCTTAATTGAGAGTATTTAACATTGGTTTATTTATGAATAATGAGGTGACTTAGTGTGACATCCTACTTGTTTTGAGAACTCTGATGTACTTTTATTTAATATTTCCGCATATGTTTTATAGTACGCGTACGGGGTAGACTGGGGTGTTACATTACACACCTTAACAAGAGCTCTATAGAAAGAAAACATGAATATTGGAAGGCTGCTCCAAATTGACCTCAACAAAGTAATACGCCCTGCTAGGTTCAACATCTTTCCTTTCCAATTAAAAAGCATGAACTTCATTTTGCATATCAAGAAATCCCAAGCTGAAATTCTCCTAGAATTAAGCGTGATCAGAACTTCGAGAAATTTAAAATCCAAACCTTCAATTCTGCACCAAAGAAAGTTAGCAGCAACTCCCAAAAAATGAGGGTTGATGCTAATTCCAATCAGCTTGCTTTTCATATAACTGACACCAAGCCCCGAAATATTTTTGAAACCCCTAAGAACAGTCTTCAGCGCTCACACGTGTCTCCAATTACCTTCCCCGATTAGTAGAGTGTCATCGGCGAATTAAAGAATATTCACCTTGCAATTTTCCTTGATAGTAAAGCAAGAATATTCCCCAAGAACACAAGACCTTCTCACTAAACTGAATAATCCTTCCGCCACAATAACGAAAAGAAAAGGAGATAACGAATCTCTCTGTCGCAGACCCCTAATTACTTTGAATTCTTTCTCCGGGCTTCTATTGACTAACACCGAAATATAACTTGAGAAAATGGTGGCTTCCATCCAACTTAACCAAATTTCATTCTTTTCATCATATACCTACGAAAATTCCAGTTCACCCTGTCGTACGCTTTTTCAAAATATACTTTGAAAAGTAGACAACCTTTCTTCTCTTTCGTTGCATAATTCATTGTTTCGTTTACGACGAGAACACTATCCAATAACTGCCTCATGGGGATAAAAGCACTTTGACAATTGGAGATGATTGTCCCGAGGACCTTCTTCAGTCTTGCCGCCAACAGCTTAGACAATGCTTTATACAAACAGCCCACCATACATATTGGTCCATAATCGGAAAGACTAAGAGGGATCACTGACTTTGGAATCAGAGTAAGAAAGGGAGATGAAATAGCCTTTGACAAAATAGCTTTTTCGTGAAACTCATGGAAGAAGCAGAAAATATCAACTTTGATAAAATGCTAGCACTTCCTAAGGAAGAAGGAATTATACTCGTCCGGACCCGGACTCTTCAATCCTTCACATTCCCAAAAGTCCTCTTTGATATCTAACTCGGTAAACTTAGCCTCTAACAAGTTATTATCATCCCCTGATAAACAATTGAGAGGGACATTATCTAGAATTGGACGACACTGATCCGTTTCGGAAAAATAATCAACGAAAAATCTAAAAATTTCATTCTTAATTTCCTCTACTCCTTTTATCAAACCATTTTCAAATTGGATAGAACCAATAAAATTCTTTTTCCGTCTATCTTTCATGACACTATGGAAGAACCTGTTGTTCATATCGCCTTCGTTATCCCACTTCAATCTAGATTTCTGAAGTAACATTCTTTCTTTAATCTTCAAATTTTTCCACAGATGCCTTGTCGTCGCGCACCTCTCTGTCACAATGTCTTCCACCAAACCATCTTCATAGATGCCCAACTTCTCATCAGCCGCATTAATTTGATTACAGTCTTCCTTAATATCCAAATCCACTCTTCCAAACACTTATTGGTTCCAAAAATGCAAACTGATTTTCAGCACTATGAGTTTTTCCTTAATTACGAAATCACTCCTTCCTTCCACCTTTAACTTCTTCCATTCACTCTCTACAAAAGGGAGAAACTCCTTGTTGTCGAACCAACAAGTATTGACTCTAAACTGTTTAGGCCCCCAATCTGAATTGTTAATCACCAACCAAATCGGGTAATGATCTGATATATCCCTTCTTCCTATTAATTGACCTATTATCTCCCATTTATTAATCAGAGAATTTGAAACTAAGAATTAGTCAATCTTGCTTATAGTTTTACTGTCCCCGTTATACCAAGTGAAGCAATTTCCTTTGCAAGGCAAACAACCAAATTGATGTCAGCCATAAACTCAGTAAACTCATGCATATCAGATAATCTGCTATTCAAAGCCCTGCCTTTCCTCTCTCTATGGTAGGTTACATAATTAAAATCACCGCACAGGATCCACTCTCCATCAACGTACTTTGACCTCAGCTCCAGTAAATCCTTCCAAAGTATTATCCTAAGATTCAAAGAGCATGGATAATATATATTAATGACATAAATGAACATACCTTTCCGGCAAAATTTGGTGCCTAAGAATCCCACCCTTTTGAAACTAAAGAGAGCCTCCATACTCCCACTTTTCCAAAGAGTTATGATGCCTCATGATTAACCATTCACACTTGCAAAGGACCAACTAACCTCCTCCTTATTCCAAAAACTCCTAGCTATTTTGTCATCAAAGAGTTACGATGCCTCCTGATTTACCATTTAGTTCAAGGTTCCTTAAGCAAATTATATATAAATAAATTGTAGTAGTATTAACTAAGTGCTTATATAAATTATAGTAGTATTAACTAAGTGCTTATATAAATTGTAGTAGTATTTAGGTCACTATTTTCAATTTATAGACAACCTGGGGAGGAAGAGAAATGGGTGGAGGTACGGCGTGGGATGGCTTAAAGAGAAGAGAAAAGAGCTTCGGTATGATCAGCTAGAAGAGGTAAAGGTGCTCGGAAGGAAGGACCACTAGCTTTTTTTTTCTTCACGGAATTTCCGGAGGCTTTTGATGCTAAGGACATGTTTGAGGTGTTTAATGAGCAAGGGATGGAAATTCCGGCTAGGAGAGACAAACGTGGTAAAAGATATAGTTTTGTCTGATTTAGAAAGGTGATGAACGAAATAACTATGGCGACGAAGTTGGATAGCATTCACATACAGGGTAAGAATATTTGTGCTAATATCCATAGGTTCCAACGTGGTATAACAACATACAATAAACAAGAGAAACTTGTGGAGGCTATAGGCGAGGGGCCACAAACAGATACCCAAGCGTGAACCCCTAGTAAACTGGGGTTGGCGTATGCTCAAGTGATATATATATATATATATATATATATATATATATATATATATATATATATATATATATATATATATATATATATATATATATATATATATATATATATATATATATATACACCCAAGCGTGAACCCTTAGTAAACTGGGGTTGGCGTATGCTCAAGTGATATATATATATATATATATATATATATATATATATATATATATATATATATATATATATATATATATATATATATATATATATATATATATATATACATATATATATATATATAAAATTAAATATTCTACAATTTCATTTACAAAAAATTGCACATGGAAAAATTAATATTTTAAATATGTCAACTTAAAATTAAAAAAGATTTTCATGAAAGTCTCTCTTATATAATATCACTTGAGTTCAAAGGACATAATTATATAACAGTCAAAATGGGCTACCCGACCCTAAACAGACCGATCCTGATGAGCCTCAAAATTTTTAGGGTTTGGCCAAAAAAATCCTATTATAATATGGGTTCAAAATTACTACTCAACCCCGACCCTAGATGGATTTCAGGCTACCCACCTCTAAATGTGTTTTTTAATAAAAAAATAAAATAAAAACCTCATAATATTTATTATAGATGAAATTAAAAATTATATTATTTTAAATATAATACATTTTAAGTACAATGTTATCTCTTATAAATAGTATAATGTGTGTTTAAATACAACACATATTTGAATTATATAAAATAATACTCGAATATTTAACTTAAGAAAAATTAATAGAATACGAGGAAAGAGTGTTGATTATATTAATGTATAAGATTTAAAAATATTGAATAGAATAGAGATCACATTTATTGTGGTGAGAAAATTTTTTTTGTTATTTTGAAGTAAGAGATATAAATATTAATATATTTTTTAAAAGAATTTGTAGTTATGTAGACCTAATGGGCTACCCACGATCCATATGGGCTAGCCCTAATGGGTATCGGGTTTTTTTACAGTTGTGCTAAAAGAACCCTAAGAATATGAGCTATAATTTTAAGGCTTAAACTCTATAATTTTTTGAGCCTAACGGGTTGGCCCATATGGGTTAGTCCATTTTGACAGCTCTACATAATTGTATATATATTTCAAGTGATATTATGCAAAGAAGAGACTTTCAATTATAGTCGTGTATGATTTTTAAACTAATATCTCTAAGATTATACAATATTCAAAATAATATCTCATGTTTTTCATATAAGATTTAGATTTTTTTAATCGATAATAGATTAAAAAAAATTTTGTTACACGTCGATTCAATTTTGTTAAAACTTTTAATATTAGATAAATTCTTTGGTATCCAATATATTAAGTTGAGTATCGGTACTTTTAGTTTAAATTCGTTTAAAAAATTAATTAATTTAAAAATAAAATAAAATATAAAATTGATATGGCATTAAACTAACATGTTTGATTGGTTGAGGGTATTAATATTCAACTAAATTCAAGGGTACCAGAGTGTTCATCTTAATATTAAACACGATCTTATAAATTTTAATTTAAAAAAATAATTGATGTGAAATATTAATATTAAATAAAATTTTATAAATTTTAAATTAGAAAATAATTGATGTAAAATGTTTTATCTAAATAAAAACTTCATGTCTATCATTTAAGTAGACTATTTTTTTTCTTTTTTTTTTTAGTATAGGATCCAATTAATTTGAAGTACACCAATTCAAATGGACGAATGTAACCAAAAAATTTGAGAATTTCTTATTGCATTTTAGATGTTTCTAATGCATCATGTAGATTTTCACATATGTCTCCTGATTCCAGAGATACATCTTCAGATGCATCCAACACACACTCAACAGAGACATTTATGAGCTACGCCCTTTGTTTTGGTTTAATTTTTTATAGAGATGTATCTCCAGAATAATTTCGTATTTACATCTCCGGATTCACACCAGAAACAAGTTCAACAGATCCAAAATAAAATTGACACTCATAATATAAAATGATCATTATAATGATGACTTCAACAAAAAATTTGAGTTACATTTCAATAACCCGATGGACGCTTGCACATCTTCAGAATATCTTTGATTGATCTTTGTATTGTCGCTTCCAACTCGAGTGAAACTTTCTTTTCGAAATTGAAAAACGTATCCCACATAGCTCTAACATCCGCTTGCGTCTTGAGGTCAAATTTGGTAAACTGAATCTTCCATTCGTTGTCAATTGAAGGTGGATGGTACTCGAGCTTCACAATCTTTCGATTGTCTCAGTAAGGTAGGAGATGGTGGATTTCGTCTTTGATATCTTCGAGGGAGGTGAATTCGGTGAGCTTGAATGTTTGGTCGGTTGTAAAGCCGGAGAAGGACACATTTGCGACATATCAATAAATGTTTATTTATGACATTTTAAGTTCTTGTGAAATATAGGATTAAAGTACCTAAATTTATAGAAGCCATATATTAATTTGGACCATTCATTAACTGTAATGTTGATTCCGAAGATATATCTTCGAAACCACATCCTATTATCTTGTTTCGGAGATACACCTCTAGAACTCGTCCTAAACTAGTTTCAAAACAGAACCATATAACAAAACTTTTTTTCCGTTGACACGATAACACATGTTGATATGGGGAAGATAAAAAATGCATAAAGACAAAATATGAACAAAAGGTGAATATATAACATTTCATTTATATTGAGATACAATTACATACAATTATTTGTCTAGTTAAACAAGAAATCAAAATGAATCAAAACATATGTCGCCGACTAAATCTATAGGTGGTACCCCCTTGGATTTTTATGCATTCGATTATTTTTAAAAATATTGTTCAATCTCTCAAATTCTTCCATCCTTTCCAGAAAATAATTCGGCCACGTCTTGACTTTTGCAGTTGAATGAGTCGTCCACTCTGGTGATGTAAATGGTATGCTACATCCCGGTTTCAAATAAGCTTGAACAAAATGACTTGATTTGAAAGCCATCTAATACACATGATACGATCAATTGGATTTTGGGGTGGGGCGGTGCAGAGTGAGAAAAAGGTTTCTGAAAAATCATAGCGTGTCAGGTCAATACACACTCTATCATATGTATATATTATTAGGTTACCCATATTAGGTAAGCTTGTCCATTTTTCCTCCGATGTCGAACCATAAGAAAGGAATAAGAGACCCATAAATCACATTGAATTTTTCTTTATTTTTGTCCAACCGCGTGTACGATTCTTTATACATCTTCAACTCTTGGATAAGTTGATATCGGACAAGTGTATGACTCTCTTATGGTTTACTGAGTAAAGTCGAAACGGCTCGGTAACCGTAATTACCACCCCCCACAACATTGACGATTCGCTTGATATATTTGTGCATAAAAACTGGCATCTCGTCAATGAATGGAGTCTTTGGTGAAAGTGTCGTCGGAGGTGGTTTTTTAATGCGAACTTCATTCACAACATCTT